AAATAAAAGATTTCTTCAAGTAGAGAGTTTTTCATTACAATTTCCTTTCACCAAAATCAAAATTTAATTAAAAATATAAAAATAATAAACAGGCAGGTGCTCAAAGAAGATATGGATGGTAAAATACAAACCTAATCTTTTCATAGAGCCCTTACACATCATAACAAAAATATATGGTAATATATGATCAATAAATTATGTAGAAATTTTTGGAAAAAAAAAAAATTGTAAAAAAAAAGATACAATATTTAAGAAGAAAAATAGAGAAAAAAGAAGATGTAACAATACATACATTAAAATACATATATACACGTATACACATACATATACATATATATATATATATATATATATATATATATATATATATATATATATATATATATATATATATATATATATATATATATATATATATATATATATATATATATATATATATATATATATATATATATATATATATATATATATATATATATATATATATATATATATATATATATATATATATATTTAAATAAAAACTTCCAATTAAATACATATTATATTCAATATATAATATATAAAGATTACATATAATATTTAAAAATACAAACAGTTAAATAATCAGATATAATGCTAAAAAAAAACAATTTTGTAAACAAAAATAAAAATTAATCCGTAAGATTAAGAACGTAAGTTTTTGTTTGACACTGAAATAAATTTAAAGATTTTGCCATTTTTAAATTGTCTTTCTGAAAAGAGTTCCATAGTTTGGGACCTCTCTAAGTTATACTATATTTTGTGTATTTGTTTACTTTTTTAGATAATTTATATGTGTTATTTTGATTTATTCTTAAGAAATAGTTCTTATTTAAATTTTTATAAAATTTACTTATGAAGATTTCGGGAGTTAGATTATTGGTATATTTATACATAAAGTTTAGGTGTTGAAAAATATTTATCTGATATATGTTCATAATTTTCATATCCATCATTAAAGGTTTAGTGTGATCCCCCCTTTTTTTGTTTTATATAATTCTACAAGCATGTTTTCGTAAGGAAAAAAATTTTGAATTAAAAAATTTTATTTTTTGTAAAATAATCAAATATTCTATTATAAACTACACGTTCAAAGATTTTCGAGAAAACAGAAAGTACTGATATGGGTCTATAGTTTGATACGTTGGCGCTATCATTATTTTTATAAATTGGGTATACTCTCGCACGTTTGATTATATCAGGAAATACTCCTTGATCTAAAAATAGGTTTACTATGTGGAACAAAGGTTTTGAAATGCTTTTTTTGTTAGATATAAAGATATTACTGGGAATTTCATCAAACCTTGCAGATTAATTTTTTTATAAAAAAAAAAATAAGTTGCATCAAATTCAAGAAAAGTTAAGTCACTATCATACATTGTTTCATCTGTTGATTTTTTTAGTTATGTCTTAAATGATGTAAAAGTTGGTATAATTTTTTTGCGAGACTAATCCCAACATTTGTAAAGTATTTATTAAACTCTTTAGATAATTTATAAGGATATCTGATTTAATAATATTATTTCTTTGAGGTAATACTGAACTTTTTATATGACTTCGGACCATTATGCAATTAATTAATGACCATGTTTTTTTAACATCAAACTTGGAATTGCTAATTTGTTTACTATAAGACATTTTTTTTTATTTTTTTAAGAAGATGTTCATAAAAAGACTTTTTGTATATTTTCTTATTCTCTGCATTTTTTAAAAATATGCTGTATAGATTTTGTTTTGTTTTTAGAACGCTTTAAAAGTGTTTTATTCATTCAAGGATTATTAAGTGCTTTTGTTTTAATTTGTATTTTTTCATATGGACCAGCTTCGTCTAATATCGCTAAATGTTTAGCTAAAAAAATAGTAAAAGCTTCGTTTGTATTATGGCAATTATAAACATCATTCCAATTTTCTAAATTTAATTTATTTGATAGTTTATTTGTATTATTGATGGTTAAGTTATGTTTTTTTAAATTTGTAAACTTTGGCTGAGTATCCATAAATTTTTTTTTTAATAGTAATGTAGATCGGGAAATGATCGCTTATATCTGTTATAAAAATGCCTGACTGAAATGACGTTTCTAAGTAATTGTTAATAACTATATCAATTGCTGTTTTTGAAGATTTATTAACCCAAGTAGGTTTATTGATTACTGGCAAGACATTGTACTAAACAACATTTCAAAAAACGATTTAGTTTTTTTGGAAAGTTGCGGCAATTCAGTGCGTTTAAATGTCTGAACAATTTTTAATGGTTTTTTAAACGTCCAAATGAAACAGTGAGAAGACGTTTTTTTAAAAACGTTTTGTGAACGTTTTTTAATCGAACTACAAAAACGTTTTTTATGAGTTTTTTAAACGTCCGTATGAAGCGGTGAACGGACGTTATTTTGCAAACGTTGTTTATATTTTATGTTTTGTATTGTTGTGAAATATTTTATGTATTATTTATAATGTATTATTTTTTTATTTTTTTTTTAGTGTAATTTATTTCGCCGTTAAAAAATGTTTACATTGCATATACATTTATATAAATTGATGGCTGGAGCAAGAAGAAGGCATATTTCGCCTTATCGCCGAGCCCCATTAAAAATTCTACATAACCGTAACATACAAATATATATATAAAAGAAACAATTAGAAATGAAATAGAAAATAACTAATATAATAAAAAAAATAAAAAATAAGAATTAATTAAGAAGCGTTAAGATGCTTAACAGTTGCTAAAATGTTTAAGAAATAAGTTAATATATAAAAAAAAAAAAAAAATTCCTGAATATAAAAGAAATTGAAAAAATAAAATCTCATAATTAACACTAAATGAATATGTAACATCATCACTTATGACATCATCACTTGTAACATCATCACTTGGATTTCTTATTCTTTTTTTTTTTTTTTTCTTTTTTTCCTTTTTCTTTCTTTTCTTATTCATATTATCATATATCATTGATATAATTGAATCTGTTTTTTTTATATTTTTTTATTGTGTTTACTTTAAAATAAACATTTAAAGTCGGATTTATTGAGATCCATGAACAATAATAATCGTTTTGATTCATCCTTAAATTGCTCTAATGTAGTCTGCTTTTTGTTAACAATATCTGGAAATTTCTTCCACAGATAAGGTCCGCGGTATTTAATTGAATAGGAAGTTAATTTTAATTTATGTTTTGGAACAACAAAATTGTTTTCTGAAAACTTTGTTGAGTACCTATGGTTAATTTTATTAAAATAAGATTGAAATATTTTAGGAGACAATTCCTTTTTTGTTTTAAACATAAACAATAAAACTTGGTGTAAATTGAGTTTATATACATTTAAAGCACCGAGCACACTTAGAAGTGGTTTGCAAGGAACATTTCTGTTGGCTTCAAATACTATTCTACATGCATGTTTTTGTTTATTGTAGAGTTTCTTTAGTTTTGTATGGCTAGTACTAGCCCACACAACATTACAAAAGACAAATAACTGTGAATAAAGGCGAAATATAATTTTTTCAGAGATGATATATTTAGAAAGGGTTTAGCCCTAAACATCATTGCAATATTTTTTGAGAATATTTTTTCAATGTTATTTATATGTGAACACCATTTTAAATTTTCATCCAATTTTACTCCTAAAAAGTTTATGTAAGATTCCCTTTTAATATAAGTTTTATTAATATTAAGATCTGGTAATTTAAGAGGAATATTTTCTGATTTATTTACTTTATAGAATAATCTATTATTTATCCACTTATTAAAATTACATTCACTTTTTTAAATATTTTGAAAAACAATTATCTGATTTTATTTAGCATAAAATGTTGAATAAAATCAGATGACATTTAAAAGATTTTTGCACTTTAGTATCAGGACTTGCTTCTTTAATGTGCAAACAAATGTGATGTTTTACTAATTGCTCTAAAATTGATATGAAAAAAATTACACACTTTAATCTTATATATAAACTTACATTTAAGTAATTAGTTAAGAATATTAAATAAAACACCAATTTTGAAAAAATTAAAAAAAAAATTTCACTTTATATATATATATATATATATATATATATATATATATATATATATATATATATATATATATATATATATATATATATATATATATATATATATCCCTGACAGCAAGCTTACATTGGACCAACGTTAAGCCAATGCATGATGATGCATTGGCCCAACGTTGAAAGTCAATGTTGGCCCAATGCAGGTTTGATCATTGCTTAGGTATTGGCCCAATGTTGTGTACAACATTGGCCCAATGTTGTATACAACGTTTACCCAACATTGGCCCAACGTTGTATACAACATTGACCCAACATTGTATACAAAATTAGCCTAAAGTTGTATACAACATTGGCCCAATATCGTATGTTATATATCGGCCTAACGTTTTATGCAAGATTAGATCGTTGTTACAAATAAGATGATTTGCATCGCTACATTGAAAAATTATAGAGAAAAAAATGTATGATACAAGTATAAAAACTTATTTATTTAACATAATTTATTGGTTAAATATACATATTGCAAACACCGAACTTAAACCAAAAACTGACACATTGAGTTTTAAATAAAAAAATTCACTATAAAAATTATAGAGTAGTTTCGATATTGGCTGAGCTACTTGTTATTGAATCATGTTTAGCTTATGATATTTGGTACCCACGATTATTATTTTTTCTTCCTCTATCTCTATCACTTGTCTGCATAAGCCATGCCTATTTGACTTCACAGTTTCTGCAAAAAAAGAAAGTTGTTTGTTTAGTTATGCACCAAAGAAATAAAACAAATTGAAAGTAATTCTGTAATGCAAAATTGAAACTGAAAAAATAAACTTTTATAAACCACTTACCAATAGCAGCATAAGCAATCAACATTTTTTCTATTTCAATTTTCTGTCCTCTCCCTGCATAGTTTAATTTTACAACTAGGCCATTTTAAAAAACTATTCTTAGCAAATAAAATATACAATCTCCTTTAACTCCGATTTGTGCCAAATAATTGACCTGCAAAAATACACAACCTGGCAATTATTAAAGTAACTTTTGTTTAGACTTAAATTAATACAAAATGCAATTTACAAAAAATCTTCAAAGAGTATTTTAATTAAAGTATATAAATTTTACTAAGATATCATACAAAATGCATTAAAAAATTATAAAAAATATTTACCGATTACTTACGTATTTTCTTTTCTTCCAGAGTACTTGAATTCTTCACTGCTTTTAACAGCAATGACACTCTTTAAGGCAATACAATAATTAGCATACCTTTGTTACTCAAATTTTTATAACTGAATTTGATGTGTTTTTTAGTTTACCAAGTTGTACTTCAATGACGACTAAAAAGAACACTAAGAAAAACATAAGTTTCAGAAAAATAAATAGTAAGCACCAAAAAAAACATAGCTTAATTGAGCGTTGGATTTTGAAAATGTGACAAGTCACAAAATTAAAATTTTACAAGGGACTGAAAAATGTTTCTCCTGTAAACAATTTTATTTTTATTTTATCTAAAAATTGTTTCTTTTCTCTAAAAAAAAACTTTATTTTATCTGAAAAAATCTTTATTTCATCTTAATATTCTTTTATTTTAAGTGAGGTGATTTAAAAAGAATATTTTTTTGAAAGTATTCTTTTCAAATAACCTCACTTTTAAAAAAAGTGTGACTCATCACGTTTTCAAAATACAGCGTTCATTTGTGAAACGAGTAACTTCTTAACTAGAATTACTAATTTTTCCATGACTATCTAAAGAAAAAAATAATTTCTTATTTTTTCCAGGTTTTCCACGACTTTAGCCAATATTAATAAACTTTTCAGATTTTCAAGGTACAGTATGGACCTTGTCCAAAATTCCTAAATAATTTTTTTTTCATATTTTAGTTCTGAATTTTAATACAATTTTTAAAAATAATATCATCTATAAAAATATTGTATTACCTTCGTCTATTAGATAAATTTAAATAAACGTTGATATAATGAATAATAATGAATCACCAGCAACTGCTAAAACTTTAAACTGATATGAATACTGATATAAATACAAATACTGTTGTTTTTTTTCAACATTTGATTTCAAATGGTTTTCAAAGTTGGTGACACCAAATTTGAAATCCAATGAAAAATTTTTGTTACGTTCAAAAACTTAAATAATCTCAAAACAACTAAAAAACCTAGCCAGTTTTTCGCAACTAAATATATTTTCTGTGGTCAGTATTCGAGAGCGATTGCTCCCGTTTCCTGACCAAGCCTGTGGTGTAAGCTTTGACATGTTGATTATTACACAATAAAATGTTAATTCACACTATGACTTTTTGACCGTAATATATGAAAAAGTCTTTCAAATTGTAAAAGTTAAAGCTATGAAAAAGATTTTAAATCATCAGACATAAAGACTTATATAAAAACAACCATTTAATAAATTTTGTTCATTCAACTTCTCAGAGCAAACATTGAACTTCTGTAAAGAGTTTAAAGTTACAGGTAAATCCTAAAGTTTAATATTTTTTTTTGTTTTATTATAAGATTGAGGATAAATCATCTACACCAAGATATACACAATTTTTTGTCTCTTTGTCATTTTCGCTGTCTTCCTTTTTTTTCTCCAGAGCAGAAGTTTAGCTTTCTGCTAAATTTAATCTTGTATTGCTTTAAAAATCTATAAATCAAATCATTAATAATTAAGTTATAATTAAAGTTAATGTATAAGATTAAAGTTGTTAACTGTTGCACGCACACTAAATATGTAAAATACCCAGAGACATTAAATTAAAAAAACATAAAACCAAGAATTTAAAAATAATGAATTAAATTGAGTTTTTTTATTTTAAATGTTTTTAATGGTAATGCTACAGTTACGCGGCCTAAAATATTTTTATTTTTCCGCTTGTCAGTAAAGGCTTTACAAACAATAGGAATATAATTGAAATAATAAAGTGAAAAAAAATTGCTACCCCATGCCAAACCCTCATTCGATGTAGCAGCACTTCCTTGTAGCAGCAGGCTATAAGATATTTGATGTAGCAAAACCCCCTGGCACAACAAGCGCAAAAATATAACTATTTTAGGCTGCGTAACTGTAGTTTTACCGTTTTTAATGATTATTTATTGATTTAATCTCATAATTCAACTAACTATTATAGACTAGACGTTGGTCTTAAAACAAAAATGTCTGGCAATATTAGAAAGCTCTACATAAGTAGAATATAAATTCTAGTAACATCACTTTTTGTACAGTTTTAATATATTAGTATATGGGGTTTCACAATCAAACACAGAAAAAATCAAAGAAAAGAGACATACTTAAAATGTAAAATATCAGCTTCTAATAACTTCAATGTCACATATGTATTATTGATACCTTTAATAATATATTTTATAATAGCTATATAATCTAAACTATTATAAATAAATAAAGAAAAAAAAAACTTATACTGAGTGACATTTCAAGTTTTTAAATTATATAATAAAAAAAAAATTTAAAATGCCTTCTTTGTTAAATAAATCGAGCATTTGAAATGTTTCATTTATTTAATAAAGATTATTAAATAAATCGAACATTTGAAATGCCAATACAGCAATAAAAATAAAAAAAATAACTTTAAGATCTTACACAAAAATAATTTGATTATTGCCTTTATTGTTACATTAATAATTTAGATAGTAGTAAAAAATGTTTTAAGCATTACGTTTAAATGTTAACAAATACTTCATCATTTAAAAAAACAAAAAATTAAGTCACGAGAATCTCTTGAAGTTAATTTCTTTTAAGGAACCTTTTAATATTCTTAGAAGATTAATAAATATACCTTCTTTTTTATTTTCTTTAATTTAAAAAATGGAAAGATATTATCAAAACTTTTTTTTATTCTGTCAAATGATGCCATTTTTAAAAATGTTTTACAACAAATTTTAAAGTATATACTAATCCGCAACTACATTGGCCGAATATTGGCTAAGGTATAAATGTAAGAACAGCAAAATATTAAGCCCAAACTACATTGGCCAAATGTTGGCCCAACGTAGTACGGTAGTTGCAAAAAACCGATTTGTAGAATTGCAATATTAAGCCGAAAAAAAAGCATTGGTTAAATGTTGGCCCAATATAGTACAATATTTGCAAAAAACCGATTTGGAGAACTGAAAATAATACGCCGAAGAAAAACATTGGCTAAATTTTGGCCCAACGGAATAAACTTACTAATGTTAAAACTTACGTTGGGCCAATGTAAGCTTGCTGTCTGGGATATATATATATATATATATATATATATTTATATCAATACTTAAAGTGTAGAAAAAAGGCAACAGGTTTGTATTTGGTAAAAAAGAAATACCGTCCTGCCTTATTATTGTTAGATATGTAGATTTTTATAAAGGTGGCAGAATGGTTTACTTTTTAAAAAAAGTGGTTAGTTAGCATTCCACCTCACTTTTAGTACTGTATATAAGGCTTGGACTGGAAAGGCGATCGAGTGCTATTACTGACCACGCAAATGGTTTTTTTTAATAACTTGTTTATATGTTTTTATGATCGTTTATATGTTTTGATAATTAAAGCATTTCAGAAATGCATTGATGTAAAAACGCTCAGCTAAACTTAAACTTGGAAAAAGTTAAAAAAACAATCCTAATGATAAAAAAATTCCTAACGAAAAAGAAATTACATAATTACTTAGTAATAAAAATTAAAAACATAAACTCTAAGAGATACTTTTTATAAGGTTTTTAATTTAATTTTAAAAAGACTACATTATTTTTTTTTTTAATTTTTTTTTTTTCCGCAAATCTCATATAAACTTTGTATATTTATTAAAAAATCTTCAGTGTTTATTTGTTACTTGATTTACAAGTGTTTGCGTAACTTTAAAAAACGTTTAAGAAAAAACTTTTATTTCAAACTCGATCAAAGCGTTTGAAATAAAAGTAATAAACGTTTGAAATAATTTTTTTTTCTTAAAGTTACGCAAACATTTGTAACAAATAAGTACTGAAGATTTTTTAATAAATATGCAAAGTTTATAAGAGATTTGCCAAAAAAAAAAATAAATAAATAAAAAAATAATGTAGCCTTTTTAAAAAAGTAATTTTTAATAATTTCATTCTTTAATAAGTTATTTATTTGTAAAAACAGGAGAAAAAATAAATAAATGAAATGCGTCTGCGGTTTAAATAAAATAAACTTTCTTTGAGCAAACTTAATTTTAATTTGAGCGTTATAACTTTTTTAATGAGCGCTTTAAGTAGCAAATTTAAAAATTACTATAAAAAATTTTTCATTCATTTATTCCTATCGTAATTATAAAAATTATTAAAAAAAAAAATTATATAAAAAATAAAATATTTCTTAAAAAAATAATTTTAAAAAGCGTAAGTTTAATTATAAAAATTAATTGTATGAAAATTACAAAATGCTTCAAAACTTATCTAATAATCAACAAGATATAATTAAGTGAAGTTATTTTATATTCAAAAAAGGTCTTGAACTTATTTAAAAAATTCTTTTTAAAAACAATGGTTAAAAGGATTTTTAGAAAGACAATTAAAATTAGTTTCGTTTAAATTTACCATAAAAATTATATGCCTGCATAAAAAATATTTATAAGTAAAATTGTTTTTTTAAATTTACACATTATTACATTAATTTACGCGTTTGTGTAAACAATTATTGTTATTATATTTATATATATATATATATATATATATATATATATATATATATATATATATATATATATATATATATATATATATATATATATATATATATATATATATATATATAGTATATATATATATATATATATATATATATACATATATATATATATATATATATATATATATATATATATATATATATATATATATATATATATATATATATATATATATATATATATATATATATATATATATATATATATATATATATATATATATATATATATATATATATATATATATATATATATATATATATATATATATATATATATGTATATATACGAATATTGTCTTGGTTATAAGAATTGTCTGGACTAAAGTTTAAAGCTATAGGATAACCTATAGCTTTAAACTTGCCAACTTACAAAAGCTATTACATTGCTATTCACACTTATGCAAATGTTTGTAAATCTATTTAGCATACTTAAGCCAATTCCCAAATATGACAGTTTGCACTTATGCCAGTTTCTGTAACTGTCTCAATAAATGCTTTGTTATACCCAAAATAAAGGATTTTACTATATATTACAGTTTTTTCTCAGATTTAGGGTTAGACAAGAAAGATTTTTTCATATATTTTTAGTTTTGATAATATAGAAATAATGGATTTCATGCAGGTGATTACTTAAAGGTAAAATCGAAACCTCATCGTTTCAATGATATCTTTTAATATTAACAGTGATGTTAGCATTTTACAACAAACATTACATTATTTTTTTAAACTAAAGACTTACATACTTGACATAATGAAAATCCATCATATTTATTCTTTTTATTTAAAAGTAATGAAAATTGCTGTGTCTTAAAATAAATCTCTTGGTCATCACAATCAATATCATTTTTATTTATTATTTTTTGACCTACAGAACCCAAGCATAGAGAGTATTCGAATTTCGTCTAACAACTTGTTTTCTTATATACATAATAATGAACATAATCCTACTCCTTCTGATAACCTCTTGAATTATTTTTCATCCATACTTACTAATTAATTTTTGGTATACTAGAATTCAAGCTAATAAATCAGCAATAAAAGCAATGATTATTAAATCGGAATAATATGTTTATGATTATTTAGCAGATCTTTCAAATTCAATGACATATTTATAATTTCTATTACCAATGATTTTTATATTCTTTATATTCCATTATTTTTTTGTGTTTTTAGGGGTAATAAGAAAATCTGCTCAAATAGGTTTTCATATGTGATTACCCGATGCAATGGAAGGACCAGCTCTAGTTTCAGCATTAATTTATGCAGCTATAATGGTTACAGCTGGAGTATTTTTAATTATTAGAATGTCACATTTATTCGAACTTTCATCTACTATATTAATTTTAATAATTATTATAGGAAGTTTAACTTCTTTTTTTCAGCTAGTATAGGAATGGTTTAAAATGATTTGAAAAAAATGATAGCATATTCTACTTGTAGTCACTTAGGTTATATGATTATGATTTGCGGATTTTCTTTTTATGGTTTAAGTTTGTTTCATTTAATGAATCAATGAGTTTTTCAAAGCATTATTATTTCTTAGTGCAGGATCTATAATCTACGCTATAAATGATGAACAAGACAATTTTACAATTAAAAAAATTTTACAAATTACTTTACCGATTATTAATTGTATAAGTAAAATAGGGTATATAATATTATTATAAACATAATGTTAAACATTTGGTAATAACACCAGACTATCATTTAAGAGTAAAAATCTTAAAATGAAATTTTGAACTAAGTCACTCACTTTCTTGAAATAAATCATCATATTTTTATCTTTCAGCCCTTTCAACAATAGTAATACTTCTATAAAAACCACTGATAATATAATTTTTTATTTTCAGAATTAAAGAAGAAAAACTCTGAGAATTTTGTTTTCTTTTCTCAATTCAAAATGAATTTTTTTGCATTAAAAGCAGTTGATAATCAAGTAGAATTAAAAACTTAATCTAGTTTCTTCAGCAATCAAGTTTACTCAACAATTAAGTTATTTAATAAAGAAAAATATCTAATTAACCACACCATGAAAACTTTATTAATCATATCTACTTGAGAAATTTAACTACCTAATTTAAACTACGCGTTTTGGCAATGTTTTTATCATGGTCGTATATTTTGAATATTTTATTAAATATAAAAACTAATTTTAAACTTTATTATTTTCTCAACATTTTTTTTTTTGCTAAATAAAGACTTTTAAGTTAAAGATTAATATGAATTTAGTTCTTAAATTATAAGAAAGTGTTGTTGATTTTGATTAATAAAAAAATTTTATAAATAAATATTTTATGTCTTTTTTAAATTGATTAAATAAGTTAGTTAGATGTTAAATTATATCAAACGAAAATTTAAGCCCAGCGGGCACAGAGGTCTGTGGGATGTCTATACAACATCTTATGAAAGTCACAACCCCGTAGGATATCTTTTGCGTTTGTTGGGAACAACTTAACAATGAAAATGATTTTTTTGTTAATGAATTCGCTCTGAAGCAACATTTAAGTAAGGAATAAAATAAAAAAAAGAGTTAATGAGCAAAAAAAACTTGAAAAATGTAAAATGTATAAATGAAAGTAAACATGTAGACGTAAAAGAACTTTAAAATGCGAATGTTTGAGAAATTCAAAACACGAATGTTTGAGAACTTTAATAGAGGTTGTCGATAATATACGTCACGCAGCTTTTGACATTTTTATCTTACTTAGTCAATATGTACGGAGTGTGCACATCGACTAAGTAAGATTTAGGCGTAGTTGATTTTACAATCATTATGTAGATAAATCATCTGAGAATTTTGGTTTAGTCAGATCTCTTTTAATTAAAAGAAAGTCTTTTCAAAATTCAAATAAAAAAAAAATTGGATCGCAAAATCAATACCTTTCCCCTCATAACAAATCATTGCAAAATTACCTTCCCCCTCCCCAAGCATGACGTAATTTATGTAGTAGTAGTAGTAGTAGTAGTAGTAGTAGTAGTAGTAGTAGTAGTAGTAGTAGAAGTAGTAGTAGTAGCAGTAGTAGTAGTAGTAGTAGTAGTAGTAGCAGTAGTAGTAGTAGTAGTAGTAGTAGTAGTAGTAGTAGTAGTAGTAGTAGTAGTATTAGTAGTAGTAGTAGTAGTAGTAGTAGTAGTAGTAGTAGTAGTAGTAGTAGTAGTAGTAGTAGTAGTAGTAGTAGTAGTAGTAGTAGTAGTAGTAGTAGTAGTAGTAGTAGTAGTAGTAGTAGTAGTAGTAACAGTAGTAGTAGTAGATTCATTTATTTCGCTGTTAAGAATATATACAATGTACAAATATAACAAAAGCAAATATTTAGTGCAAGAAGAAGACGGATTTGACAAATCAGTAAAGTATTTATATAAGTATATATATATATATATATATATGTATATATATATATATATATATATATATATATATATATATATATATATATATATATATATATATATATATATACATATATAGATATAAATATATATATATATATATATATATATATATATATATATATATATATATATATAAATATATATGTATATATATATATATATATATATATATATATATATATATATATATATATATATATATATATATTACATGAAATAATAATTATTATGCAATAGTTATATATATATATATATATATATATATATATATATATATATATATATATATATATATTATAAAAAATTTTATAGTATTATAAATATATTTTATAATATATATATATATTATAAAATATATTATAGAACTTTTGATAGAACTTTTGATAGAACTTTTGATAGAACTTTTGATGGAACATTTAATGGAGCATTTAATGGAACATTAGATGGAACTTTTGATGAAGCTATTGATGAAACTTTTGATGGAACATTTAATGGAACATTAGATGGAACTTTTGATGAAACTATTGATGAAACTTTTAATGAAACTTTTGATGAAACTTTTGAAAGAACTTTTGATAGAACTTTTATGTATTTTTGATATATCTTAAGTATATAAGCTCAAGTTAACTTTATTATAAGTTGGTTTCGCATCTTTTTGCAAACTTTTGGTTTTTAGTGATGCAAGGTCGTTCTAAAATGTTGTTTTTTGACTGCTTTATTCAGTTTTTGATTGTTGCGGGTTAAATACTTTTAAGCATTGCAAAAATGTCCAAATTTAAGTGTGTTAATGATTACGTTGGATTTGTTTTAAAAACGATTTATGAAGATTTTTTTAAAAACGCGGTTGTTGGAGCCCAGGAAGTAAAATGTAACACTATATTTATCTATCAATACTACAATAAATTTACCAACAAATACAAAAACAATGAATCAATAAAGTATTTTAACTTAATATCGAATACTAAATTATATTCATCGATAGGTTTTGAATTTTATGTAAATATCTTTAAACATTTAAAAGTTATAACCATCTAAAAGTTACAGCGATTTTAGTTTTAGGGAGATGGGAAACTTGCTTGTAATTTTCAAACGCTAAAAGATAAAATTTTGAACCCTGTTGTTTGACTTTTATAAATTATTGCTACAAATTAACATGTGCTGCGTTGAATGTCCAGTTTATAAAGTAATTTTAAGCGAGTAAGAAACCTTTTATTATTGTTCCCTTTTTTATTAGTTTTAATTACAAAGTTTTACTATAAAATTTGAATTTTAGATTAACTTTTGATAAATTATTCCTAATATACAGTTGGTATAAGCTCCATTTCTTTCCACTCGCGAAAAAAGTTTTATACTTTATAATTAAATTTCTCCAAAACTATAGATTGAACCCAGCTAGCACTAATAAATAACTCTAACGTATGTAAGAATCATTGTAAACATCGGCCGTTTTTCTAATGTTGTCTTGTAAATTCCAATGTTGACCTAATGTTATGTCTTTAGCATTATATAAATAAAAAGAATAATGTTGACGCGCCTAAAATCAGCTGGCGTAGTTACAAAGATCTAAGGTAAAAGCATTGCAAAAGTTTATAGGTTTTTTAGTCTAAACCCAACTTTTATCCAATGTAAATAGCCTAAAATTGATTTAATAAATATAGAATAACATTGATTCATTATATGCTATCTAATGTCGGATTGCTAAACTATATAACTTGAATAAAATCTTCTGTAAGTATTGAAATACTAAATCACAAGCAAAATAAAAATAAATAGCTGGTTTAAATTTAATGGAGGAAAAAGGTTTTTTAGTTAAACATAATAAATACCTTAAACTATACACATTTTTAATAAAACCTGCTTTAAGTAGGTATGAAAAACGTATTTTTAACCACCATTAAGTATGAAGTAGTTCCACAGTGCAAGGTTTTATTTAAACTCACTCTTTAAATAACTAGATTTTTTTCCTTATATATTACTGTTTTAATAGATTAATTCTTTAATTTAAAAATTTATTTTAGAATAATACTATCGTTTTAGTTTTATTTTGTTAATTCGGTTTTGTTAATATTTTGATTTAGTTCTTTATTAAATAACAAAAAAAAAATTTATGCAAAATAAAAGAGTGCAATTAAATTGCTGTTAATTGTATAAAAGAATTGAGGTTTTTATGAAACCCTTTATTTATATTTATTTAATTTTATACTTTATCAAGGTGATTATCAGGGAAGAAGGCAAAATGAGGATTACTTTGGCAAAAATTTTGATTATATTCTAGAATTAAAAACATTTCAATATTCAATATCAAAAGACTTTGTTGAAAACAATAATGAACAGTTACAGAGTTGGCATTTCCAACCATTTTGTGTAGCAAACAATGCCCATGGTTATTGGCAAAATAATGTGTATAAAACCGTAACTGCTAAAACTGATAGCACTTTTAAACATGAAATGATTTTACGGAACCTTGCTGCATTATCAAATGTCAACAATTCTGCTCAACCAACTTTTTGGTTTTACGGTGATTCGTTAAATCTTCTCTTTTTCAGATCTTTAAAAACAACACCTCTGTGTAAACTTTTTATTTGTCAGAACACTTACATATGGACATATCCTGTAACAGATACAGAAGATCCAAATGCTCAACCATATGACAATAAAGACTTTAATCAAACTAAATTTCTTGATAACATCAAAATGGTGCTCATAAATCCTTTAATGAGAAATAACAATAGTGTTTTAATTATTAACTTTGGATTGCATATATTAAAAAACATTAATATGAGTCAAGCAGAAGAGCTACTTGATAGCTTTCTTGATATGTTGCTGGATATAAAGTCAAAGGTTTTATCAAGTTTTCCAAAAATTTTATGGAAAAGTACAACACCAGCGTATATAGAAAACTTTTTACTCAAACACGGAAAAAATAATTTAGAAAGAACTCTTGTAAAACAGGTATATCAGTATTGGATAAAAATAATTTTGATCTTTTTAATAACTTTTATATATATGTATATATATATATATATATATATATATATATATATATATATATATATATATATATATATATATATATATATATATATATATATATATATATATATATATATATATATATATATATATATATAAATATATATATATATATATATATATATATATATATATATATATATATATATATATATATATATATATATATATATATATATATATATATATATATATATATATATATATATATATATATATATATATGTTGTTTGTTGACATCTTCAATAGACTTAATTTGTATAAACAATATAAAATAAAACTTCTTGAATGGAAAAAATTTCTATTTGCTGAAAATATATTTACTTTTACGTAATTTCGAAGGGATATTGATACCGTCGTTGTCATATATATATATATATATATATATATATATATATATATATATATATATATATATATATATATATATATATATATATATATATATATATATATATATATATATATATATAATATACAATTTTTTTAGAGAGCAATTCATTGGAACTTATACTGTGTAAAAAAAATGTGCGAACTAAATATACCTGTGTTAGATGTATACTGGATGGCAGCATCGTATCCACAAGGTCCATATGATGCTGTACACTATGATAGTCACGTATTTCGTTCAGCAGCCACATTTTTAAATAATTTATTCACTAATTCTCACAATAGTTTTTAAAAAGCAACAAAAAAGTATATAAATAAATTTGACTTAATTTTAAAAAAACTTTTTTAATTTAAATCTGAATTGTTACTAAACATTTTAAAATTGTTAGCAGTGTGTCAAAAATCAAGGATGTAATCATGCAAGTTAACATAAAGCACTAACCCTAGCTGAGTAACTGAAATATATATATATATATATATATATATATATATATATATATATATATATATATATATATATATATATATATATATATATATATATATATATATATATATATATATATATATATATATATATATATATATATATATATATATATATATATATATATATATATATATATATATATATACTTTTTTCGTTTCTTTAAAATTTGGGTAATGCGTTCTTTTTTTAATCATTATTGCAATTAAAATATTTTTTTATAATTAGTTTTTGAAATTTTTTAGTAACATTTTTTAGAGAATTAATAAAAATTTATTTTTTAAGATATTATTTTAAGCCATCGATTCGGCAAAAAAACTTAAAGTAAAGTCTGCTTATAAAATAACAGGATAAGTTACGCAAAATGTCACCTTAATAAACTAGCTTAAAACTAAAGCAGGTGACACAGGTTTTAAAGTAGGGGGAGGGAGTGGGCATAAAAAATTTAAATGATACCTTTTTACAATTAGCAACAAAAAAGTAAAGAAAAGAACCATTTATATTTTGTAAAACAAAGTGATTCAATTTGTTATTTTTAAAAAATGATATAAAAGATGTGTTTTTTTTTTTAAAAATATAATAAATGAAAAAATTGTCTCTTTTTTTCGCCATAAGTAGATATGAAAAAAATTTTGTTAACGAATTGATGCCGGAAAATTTAAAAACCCTGCAAAAAAAATACGATATTCAAATAAATATTATCAACATCAAAATCAACTGACATTCTTACCTACCAAATTAGAATTTCTTAACATCAAGTCAGAGTTAGACGAAAAATGTGAACATTTAAAAAAATTAAAGCAACATAAAATCAAGACGAACATTAAGAAAAACTCCAACGTAAAAAGAAATCTGTCAAAAAAAAAAAAACGAAATTCAAAAACCAAAGCGTAAAAGTGTAAAATTTTCTTAAGACTCCATCCATTCTTCTTCCATCCAAGAAAATATTCATTCTTCTTCCTCAGAATTAGCGCTATTCTGAGGAAGAAGAATGGATAGAAAAGAAACCTTCAAAATTAAAAGTTTCGTTTACTTCACACGTTTGTTCTCAATGTTTTCAAGAAGTAAAAGCTGTAGACGCTATTCACGGTTTGTGCAAAAATTGCATTATACAACAAAGAGCTATTTTATCCAGTCCTTACATGCAAAATACAGTTGAAAAAAATGCATGAAAGAAAAAATTATTGCATGCGTGCTTTAAAAGACGTTAAAAACAAAAAAATATCATTTAAAAAAACACTTCCCACTCTGACGATAAATAAATAGAAAAAACTTTTTATAAAAACTTTTACTTTTATTTATTTTTTTAATTTTTAAAATAAAAAAAAAAAACTTATTTCACGATGGGTTCCATGGCAAAATAAATGAGAGCGGATGACGGTAACTGTTATACACCAAACAATCCTGGTCCCGTTACTATAGACGATGTTTTACAAAAAGCAGAACACGAAAATCGCCTGTTGCAAGGAGCAACGAGCGGTGACATTATTGCAGAAATGAGCGCAGCTTTAAATAAAAAATATACTGGTTTCATGACTGCCCTACTGCTAGACGAAGTCATTTCAATAAATTATCAAAGCTTATCACCCGATATAACTTCCGGCATGTCAACGTTGATTACGTTAACCAATACGTTAAGCGAATGGACAATACGTTAATATTATATGTTAGAATTTGATTTGGGTATTTATAAAAGGATAAATCCGCCAACGAAATTTTCTACCGCTCCAAGCAATACAGATATAGTCTTGTTGACTAAAATTGCTTTAGTGGAGAATATCGTTATTTATTTGTTAGAAAACATAAAAGTTTTTCTTAATTGTCAAAAAATAACATTACTCCTGCCAACAACGTCGTATACAATCGATCATACGATCGTTTTAAACAAATGTTTATTAAAAAAACTATTAAAAAAAGTTTAGAGAAGAAATACTCAACAAAACTTTAGATTTAACTGAAACACTAGTTAATGGAGCAACTTGGGACAAAACAAGAACGCTTATGACATCAACAGATGCCGCAGCAAATATAAGTCTGGGTAATAAGCTGGACGGGTATGCCCAACATCAAAACGTTTTAAGAACTACTTATAATAGTAGAATGAACAAAGAAAGAGGTTATCGATTTAGAGTTCCGTTGTGTCTATTGTGCAAATTTTTTCAAATTAAAACCTATTTCGAAAAGGAAAACAACTGAGCCCGAATTCAATATCGAAACTGACATGAATCAACTTTTGGAATATGTAAGAGGATGTACCGATGCCGACGTTACCGCTTTGACTAACGTAGGTCTTTATATCAAAAATCCCGTTCTTAGGTTTATCAATTATAGAATTAAAGCTAGTTTACCTTTAGAAAAATTTTTAAACATTAACAGTTACTAAAACGAACCATATACAATACTTCGTTTTGCTTATTACGAACAAGTCATTACCAACGTCAAAAACACAAACACTGTTACCATTAGTTTAGGAAACATAAAAACATCAGACCTTGTGCCTCATTGTATTTTGTTTTCCTTAAAAGCTAAAAAGGAAACGAATCATATCACTAAAACTAGCCTATCTCCGGTCGAAATGGCTTACACTATCATAACTAAAATTACTTTTTACAGTTTTAGAAGAACGTTTGTCAATTCACCAAAAGACACTTATAAAATAGATTTGCTAAACAATGTCGAAGATCAACAACTTTGTTATCGTAGTTATATTTCTTGGTGTAAAGGAAATTCTCCTACTACTTTAAACATTAATAATTCTGCAGACTTTTATACCACAGACGACGACACTTTTATTAAAAATTTCGACTCTTATTTTAGTAAAACGGGAATATTAAGAGAACCTTTAGCAATAGACACCACAAGCGATTACAGTTTTATCAACGACAAACCTCCGGCTACCATTGCCGGAAACAATTTGTTTCAAGTTATTATAAATTTCCTAGAACCTATTAGAGGTGTCATCACTGCGTACCTTCAATATGGAGCGCAGTTGATTCAAACCGAAACAGGAGAAGACGAGAAATAATACATATTAATAATACATAGAAATAATAACGAGAAATAATACATAAAAATGATACATATTATCCTGCTAAACTTAAAGCATCATAACTTGTTTTACGACGTTTTTGTGTTGGTTAAAATGACCATTTTGATTAACACTTATATTTGTCTTTATTTAAAATAAAAAGGACGCAAAAACGTTGCAGAACTTGTAAAAAAAAAGAGGTAAAGGCCATCGCAAACATCGCAGACATCACCGAGGAAAAGGAAAAATATTTACTTAAGTAAAAAGTATCGCACAACGTTTGCTTCGATCTGACGTAGGAGGCTGCGCGCTCTATTATCTTCAAAAGCAACGCAGTGCGTAGAAGACATCATCGTAGACATCACCGTAGACAACATCGAGGGAAAGGAAGAGTCTATTTACCTCCGTTTAAAGGAGTCGGTAGAAGAAAAAGAATGCGCGGTAAATTTCTTCCAATATTAGGCGCTTTATTGGGAGGGGGTTTATTACTTTTGGTATTGTCAATCATGATATCTTACTCAATAAACTTGAGTTTTACAGAATAACTCGTAAAATGATCAAATGGTATAAAAGCTACTTGTCAAATAGAAAGCAATTTGTCTACCACAGAGAAGAATTGCTTCCTATTAATCTTCAAAATAAAACATTAATTGAAATAAGATGTGGTGTTCCTCAGGGTTCTATCCTTTGGCCCACTTCTCTTTTTAGTATACGTCAACGATCTAAATAAGGCCTCGAATCATATAAGCATCATGTTTGCCGACGATACCAATATATTTTTGTCAAACAAAGACATTAACAAACTTTTTTTAGATATGAATAAAGAACTTAATCAAGTTTCTAACTGGTTTAAATGCAATAAATTAACCTTAAATATTGAGAAAACAAAGTGGATCCTTTTCCACTCCTCAACAAAAAAACACTTTTAGCCTTATGATTTACCTAAACTTTATATTGACAAAGTAGAAATAAAAAGATTCCGTTTTAAAATTTCTAGGTATTTATCTTGACAAAAATATGACATGGAAAGCTCATATTGATTATATATCGACAAAAGTTGCAAAAAAAATTGATATCCTCTATAAGGCCAGAAATTATCTAAATAAAAATAATTTAAAACAACTATACTACTCATTTATTCATAGCTATATAAACTATGCAAATATTGCCTTGGGAAGTACAGGTAAAAGTAAGTTGCAACGTTTTTACCGCCATCAGAAACATGCAATTCGAATAATATATTTTTTAAATCGTTTTTCAAATACAAAACCTCTATTTAAAGATATGAATATATTAAATGTTTATGAACTTAACTTGTACATTATTTTATGTTTTACGTTTTGTTGTATGAGTAACCCCTTATTTCATGTTTTTAAAGATCTATTTACCTTTAAAGTAAAGAATACATAAAGTTTGCGAAATAATAACTATTTAAAAGAACCCTTTTGTCAAACAAAGTTTGATCAATTTTGTATAGATTATCGAGCACCTTATATCTGGAATAAAATTGTACAGCCTAATTTAGATTCATCTATCTCTTTTTCTGTTTTTAAAAACAAGTTAAAGAATATTATTTTTTCTACGGATAATATATTGAAATATTATTGAGATATTATTTTAACCATTTCATATTTCAAATGTTTTGGATTCTTATTTTGTTATAAACTACCTGTATTATGCTATATTGTATTTATATTGTAATTTTTATACGGTTCTGGCGACAGGATCGATATGATCTTCTTCCAAACTCCAAATTTATATGTTTATATTACACGGAAATCACGACATGTAAATAATGTATATGTAAATAATGGTTCTGGTTTCTATGGTTTCACAATAGCTACTGGTGGTGTCGAGTTTTAAAACTGTTGAAAAGGTTTGTCTTTGGTATTCAATCATAATAAAAACAAAACAAAATCGAGCGCATTAAA